GCATGTGCCCTTGAATCTGCGTGGGGCCCTGCAGGCTGGGGCCAGGGCCATGCCAGGTTCTTCCTGGTGCTCGAGGGGACTGGGCCAGGGCTGTACTTGAGACAGGCAGCAGCAGTGCTGAGAGAAGGTTATGGGGGCACTGCAGCCAAATCAAATTTTGCTGTAGCCCTCTCCTCCCAGTGCTGCTGCCACCCATCCTGAGCACAACCCCCAGGTGCCGGGAAGAGCCTGGCGCAGCCCCAGCCTGCAACTGCAGCCCCCCTTCCTGTCCCCCCCACTCAGATCCAGGAGCACATGCCTCCCCCCCACCCTGTACCCTCCCAGAGTACGCACAGCAGTGGGAGCCGCAACCCCCACACAAGCCGTGGCTCTGTCCTGCACACTGCCCTGGCTGAGCAGCGCCTGCCCTAGCCTCTACCCACTCCCTCCCTTCCTCACCGTGGGGGGAGGGGGAGTGTTGATCTGTTCCCCCACATCCCTCCACTCCCCCACCTCCCCTTCCACCACAACAGACTTACCAGCTGCATGCAGCTCTTTGCTGCCTGCATGCTATACTGTGGCTGCAGGTACGCATGGGCATTTATCTGCCAAATTATTGGCCACATTAGGCCGATTCCCAGTTTTCTTTATATTGGTGCTGATCCTAATGCTGCTTGACCTGCCACTGAAGGTGGGTCTAGATCTGGCCCCTGAGGAGCCCCACAGTCCAGATCTGGCCTAAGGGCCCAAACCAGTTTTACAACCCTGACTTAAAGTAACCTGTGTAATTGCAGTTGGTATTTTCTTTTAATAAAGAAATTGTATTTGGGTTAATGACATGGTCAGTTGAATTCCAGTAATATAAAGGCCAAGAAGCTAGAGAGACTCAGATGGATTGGATGTTATATGTGGGTAATAAGAATATCCAGAATTGTCATAGTTGATGCTGAGTACGTGTATTCATGGTAAGGAGAAAGAGAGTTGGGTAAAACATTAGAATTTTTGTTTTATTTGTAGACACTTTCTATTCTATTCCATTCTGTTCTGTTCAGTTTGATCAGATCTTTTAAAATGGAAATAAGATCCTTTTTCATAAATTCCTTGGCAGAGTGCCCTACCTTTTTGAGTAATTGGAAACATTGCATTATAACAAGATGATTTTCAGAGTATGTTTCAACATGTTAAAGGTTTTTGACTGTGTCTGTTTTTAGTTTCAGCTGTCTCAGCAACTACTCCCTGCATGTGTGGATTACAGTGATAGTAGATTAGGAAGCAGGTGGTGCTGTCAAGTTAGTGCAGCTGGTGTTTATTTCTTCTCTCTCCTTTCAGTTACTGGACCAAAACTGGCTGTCTTTGAGCTTTACACATGTCTCCTGGGGCCTTCTTTAAAGAGGTTGTGGGGAAGAAACTCTTTTCCTGACTGAAGACTCCAGGTTGGGGGATCTACTCATTTAACTATGTAAAAAAGAAAAGAAAAACTTGGCTCTTGGTGCTTTCACCTTACCCACAGCTCATGTAGCATTAATAGTGCTGTACTGGTAATAAAAACACTTGCTCACAGCCTATTGTGAAATTCTTCTGTCTACAGGGCTAGGATAATAGTGGGTCACAGGGTGTTTAGCTGTGGTTCTTAAAGGATCTTTAGATTATTTCTTGCATGATGCAATAACTTACGGAATGAACTGCTCCATGTATACTTATAGTTATGGAAAAGTACAGTTTCTCTATATTTGTCTGTTGAAGAAACTCATCTTCTAACTAATTCATGAATTTTTTTCCATTATTAAATGCATTAGAATATACCTGAGAATCCAAAAAGAATTTCAACATTAGTTTTGTATTTTTACTGCATTTTTAATGTAACTTTTCATTTTTTTTTTCAGCTTACGTTGAGCATGAGTCTTGTTATGATCAGTGAGAATGTAAAGCTGGCTCGTGAATATGCCTTACTAGGGAGCTATGATACTGCAATGGTCTACTACCAGGGAGTTCTTGACCAAATGAACAAGTACCTCTACTCTGTCCGAGATACATGTCTTCAGCAGAAATGGCAACAGGTGAGCAGCAGTATTTTGTCAGGGAGCATTTTAATGGCAGAGAACTATGCTAATACAGTCTACCTAGTTTAATCATGAGTAAGAAATACTAAAAAAAATAATCCTAACTGTTCTTAATGAGCTGTTGTGTTACTATATTCCTAAGGCTTCGCAGGCTGATTATTTTTTTCTGATGGCACTGGCATTATAAGGAATGGAGCACAACACTAGCTTCATACTGCACTAACTTGCTTGCCAATTTGACTTCTCATTGAATGGATGAGTGCCCTTGTTATGGCTTAGTTAGTTGAACTTTTATATTACCATGAGGCAGACTTACTCCTTCACTTGAATGTCTTTCGATAGTGGGGTTTTGGCTCCCTCATACAAAGTTAAGGTTACTGCATTCACTTCACATTAATGAAGAACAATAGTTTTTCTGAAGACAAATCAGTCCGTTAGGTTGCAGTCTCCTCACATTGTACATTTTTCTTAAGACTGTGATGTTTTAAAAAAAATCACAAAGGCTGATTACATTATTCCATGTCTAGCTAAAGAAGTATTTAAAATATATAAGGCTGAGTTAAAGAATCAGGACACAAGTTCCACAAGGTTCTTTTTGCTGAGTGGATTCGCAATGACTTTAGCAGGAGTCTGTTAAAAGTTTATTTGCAATATGCTTTAATATGCTTCATATTTTGCATCAGGTTTGGCAGGAGATAAGTGTGGAAGCTAAGCATGTGAAGGATATCATGAAAACATTAGAGAGTTTTAAACTAGACAGTACTCCCTTGAAAGCTTCACAACAAGAATTACCAGCTCACGATGCAGAAGTCTGGTCCTTGCCAGTACCTGCTGAACGTAGGTAAGAAGAAAATTATAGGCACAGATAACATTTTATAGGGTAAAATATGGTCTAGTTTCAATATGAATTTGCTCTGTAACAACTCCCCTCTCCTAGGGCTCAAACACAGTATTTGAAATAATTGATGCTTTAATAGCCAGATGTTGGGCCGCGAGTTAAATTTCTGCATTTTGCTTCAGGATTTTCCTTTCTTGTCTCTAGTAGCATTCACAGCCTGCTTTCTAGGAACAGCTTTAAAATGGCCATCTTCTGATGGTTCCATGAAACTAGCTTACCACTGCTGTACTTTTCCTTCCTCTTGTCTTGCAATGGTACTGCATGCAGCTAGTGTGAAAAGGAGGTAGAAGAGGTATCTTACTTGACCACTTTTCATAGTTCCCATTCTTAGGATCCTAGTACATAACTCCTCTATTGGCCTTTGCTGTTGCTTGTAGTTTTCCTCGGCAGGAAATGTGTGAAGTTTAAAATAAATGAGTGTGAACTTTGAAATGAGTGTGAAGTTTGTTGGGTTTTTTTGGACTATTTCTGTGCTGCATAGTGTTTACAGCAGCAACAGTGAAACCAACATTTCAATAGCTTTGTCAGGCAGCAGAGGTCCAGGGGCTGCTTGCAGACTAAGGGAAATATTTCAGTCCCCATACTTATTTGGAAGGCTGTCTTAGCAACTAAAAAGGCACAAATGTAAGCTTAAATTCTGTAGAAATCAAAGGCTTATGTCTTACTCTTACCAACTTTTACATTGTCTGATTTCTGCACCCATGCAAAATTCTTTGACTTAACTGGACTCCATATGAAAGGAAGAGCTTACAAGTTTAGCATTTAGCCTTTAGCACACCCCCATTGTCAAAGACCTAAGTAGAGTTTTTGTACATTTTTAGTTACCCAGATCCTAAAGGTAGAATTGTAGTTTGGAAGCTTTCATAAAACAGTATTTTTAGCGTTGCTCAAGAAGTATGATTACTTAAATGGAGTATTTGACTGCTTTTAGTCTTGGGTTATAGCGGGTCCCAAAAGCCGCAATGAGAATTCAAGCCACTTTGTGCCAGGATTATCCTTGTGTTGAAGGTTTATGTTGTAGAAATTAAAACAGTTGAAGAGTGGGTCAGAAATAACAGAGATGTACAACATGGTAATTGCCTAGCCTCCCTTTCTAAATACAATAAAACCTAAAAGTGCTACATGGCTAGAAACCTAACTCTCTAGTCCAGTGGTTCTCAAGGGTTTGGTCCCAAGGGCCAGATGAATGGTGTGGGGCTGGTCCATGGGCTGGATTGGGGCCCCACATTGCCCATACCTGGCGCTGCAGATTAGGATTGGGTTCCAAGCCTCCCCCCAGTTGCCCCTGCTTAGTTCCTTGTGCCAGGATCAGGCCCTATACTGCCTTGCACACCTGATCTAGCATGTAGGGCCACAGCCTGCAAGGCTCCCTGTGGGTCAGATGATGGCACCAGCGGCTAGATGTGGCCTGTGGGTCGGGTTGAGCATCCTTTTTCTAGTCAGATATTTGACTCTGTCTGCTGTGTTTATAAATTAACCCTTTTCCATTTAAATCTGCCCACTATGATTTTATGGTAACCCTACATTTCTTCCTATTTATATTAAACTTCATCAGTCTCCTTTAAATGAACAATTGAATAATCTTCAGAACCTTGGCCCCAGATAGGTTTTTTGCCTGCAAATAAATGGACTTTCCAACAAGTGACAGAATTGCATCCCAAAGTCTCCTGACAGGGGTTAGTGACCATGAACATAACTTACTTTGCAGGGATTGAGGTTTTTGTAACCATGGTGCTAGGAAGTCAGTAAGTGAACTAATGCTTCATATGGCAAGTGACCAGGGCTTCCTGTTGGTCATAACGCTTGCTCTTGCAGCTTACCTTATCTTTCCTTCTAACCTGCATGTTGGAAAATATGCTTCTCTAAGAATTAAGGGACATTAAAGCTTTATGAAGGTAAAGGAGCCCCACAAATTTTGGGGATCAGAGATCCTCTCCACATGTCCACTTGATTGACTTTTTGAGGGCTATTCTCTGCACGTGTACCATATTTCATAAAAATAAGTTATATAGCAATTTAAATTGGCTTTAACATTGCAAGTTGGGATTTTCTGAGAACAGACTCAGGAAGGGTTGGAGAATCATCAGTTCTTTTAATGAAAGTGCTCAAAGTAGGCAATTTAGGGCCTTTTAAAACAGGGGTGTCAAATTCATCTGGCCCTATAAACCAGGCTGCACCAGAGCCAGTGTGCAGGGCATTGCCTGCAGCCTGTACCCCAGATCCCCTATGCTGTGTACAGTGTCAGGTCAAACCCACTCACTGTGTGCAGAGCAAGCCTTCCTATGCTGCATGCATTTCCAGGTCCAGCCAGTGTGCCAGATGGAGTAAGGGGCTCTGGGGCTGTAGTGTCCCATGTGGCATATTGGGACATAGATTTCATAGATTTTTTGGGCTGGAAGGTACCTCAGTGGTTCATCTAGTCTGATCCCCTGCTCTGGGCAGGAAAGAGTGCTGGGGTCAGATGA